ACAATGCGTTGTGTTTGGAGAGTTGACTATTAAACCCATCACATCGATTTGGGAGGAAATGGTGTACTGTTACTTTTGGCGCGGTGGCTTTTGAATTCAATTGGAAAGTGCCTTGCTCTCAACAGCTGCATTTTATTTTAACATTAATCCAGAATACACTTAAAATTTCTAATGGGTGGAGGGTTGGTGTGATGTCATCACTCCACATGAAGATGCTGTTTATTAGGCTATATAGGTTTTATTAGGTTGTTTCGTGTTATGTACCGTTGTTCCTTTGCTCTATGCCTGTACAGAGCTGGATGTATTTTGCCACAATTTCTATCATTAATCAGAATAATGTTGCATAACTGTTCATTGATTAAGCTAATGTTGATGAGCTATGCTGTTGGTGGTACATTGGTATTGTTGTGAAACTCAAGCTGCTCCAATGAGATTCTGGTTGCATCTTTTTAAAGGCGATTGGCAATGACAACCCACAGCTTGTTACATAAATTAATGTTAGTCAGCAGATATTTTGATAATCTATTTTTCAAGAAATAGCCTAAATAAAAGAGAGCCAGTCTTTCTGTGTGCTTAACCTCTAATATTGTTTGTTAAATACACATTTTTTTCTGATTTAGTGGGAAATTGCCTGAAGAGGGTGAATTCAAAAGGATAGTAATTGTCAATCCAACACACAATAATGGTGTCTGAGCAGTGTATACACTAACAACGGAATCTATGTGCTCAGAGCAGATGAAGTCCACCTGCTCCACCTGCTTTTCTGTGTTGGGGCTTATATCTCTATATAATGCACAGCCAATGTCAGCTGCTCATACTGTAGACATTGTTTAAATGACATTCTCCCTCCAAGGTTTATATAGTAACACATTTCCCCTTTGTCTCAAAGGAGTACTGTGAGATTGTAAGTCTGGACACTGGGATAGATTACCGGATGAGGCAAACGAAGCCAGCTAGAAGAACCTACTTTGTGTAAGACATTTAATTCACTCATTTTAAAGATACAAACTTATTGTTTTTTTCCTATTATTAATACATAATCTATGGCATTTTTACACAAGAAACTCTGATATACCCAATAGTGTTTCTGAATTTTCAGATGCTTACACAGGTACACAACGCTGTTACTCTCTCTCTTTCTCAACCGCAATCATAGCACACACTCTCAAAAACGGGATCATAAAATAAAGTATGAACTTTCTAGGAATTCGATCAAGCCATGGACCTGGTTATCTCACATTCTGATAGGCCATTGTATTTTTGTCACTTGTTGAAGGTTTAAGACCCACTTATTTACATTAAAAAGGTGGTGTTTTGACACAGAATTGAGCTTTTTAACCTAAGCATTTTTCTGAAATAAAACTAAACTTTACTACACTACAACAATATTAATACTGGTGATTTTGACCAAGTGAACAGAGAACATATTAAAATATATTTCACGAGGGGATATGACTGCGTTTCTGAACAGCTGCTCTCGTAGAGGACGTTAATATGCATGTGTTTGTTGACACCTGATTGCTGCTGTCTCTTATTCACACCCTCTCAGTGTTTGCGTTCTACATCCAGCGTCTGTTTCATTGAGCTTCTGTGGACATTCACACTGTTTGATCTGAGCACTTCAAACATGGTTCATCTCGTTTTCAATTATCTCCCTCTTTCACTCGCTTTCCATAGATCAAGTGAGCCTGATGCAGAGAATACGGTCAACATGCTGTTTGAGGAACTGGCGAACAGACAAAATGATGGTATAAGCAACTTAATTTGCCTTTGCATGGGGGAGGTTTTAAGGGTTAAGTGTGCGTGTGCTTTTATATACGCAATTTGTTTGTTGAGCTTTCGATTATTGCGTAGGTTGGCACAAACATTTTTTTTTAGATCACCAATTTGGAACAGCTGGCCTCAAATGATATTTTGGTATTCCCCAAACTCTAAATTCAACCATTAAACACTGACCCTCCACACAAACTTTGGGGATTCTCTGTTCTCCCCAATGATTCAGCCTCAAAGAAAACTAAAATTACAGAAAATATGCTTTTAGCTTAAGAAAAAAAACACTTTTTTTTTTGTATGGAAATGACATTTTTCATGGAATTGACAGCAGCAGTTCCTCTAGATAGACAGTGTCATTGCAAAACTCCATTTGTAGAAATGCAGCCCCAAAACTTCAAGGAACCTCCACCATGCTTCACTGTCCGCTTTATAGCCTTTCAATGAACAAACTAACCTTTTTCTGCACCTCAGTTTTTTGTGCATACTTGAGTTCAGAATAAAACTTTTTGTACACTCAATAGTTGTTGATTCAATAGGCACCTGTAAATAAAATGTATTTATTATAAAAGACTAATTGAGTGAATTGCGTAGTTTACCCAACTATTAATGGCTAAGAATTTCCATTAATATATAATGCATTGTGAATTTGGTGTTTATGTATTTTATATATAGACATGATTATTTGCTTAAGCAGTGACCAGGCCAAAGGTATTAACCGTGCAGGGAAGGGAAGTAACCTTGAGCAGGGCCTGTGGAAGCATCGCTGACTGCACATTTCAAGAGCTCTGTGAGCGAGTGAGTATCTCCAAAATTACTCACCATTTTCTGTTGGGATTTTGTAAAAAAAAAAAAAGTTTCCTTTTTTAGCTATATTTGTGTTTTCGCTTAAATACTTTTTTAAATTTAAAAAATAATTGAATTGAGAATATAAAATATTACTGTAATCAGAACTGGGGCCAGTGAGCCACGTATTGTTTAATCTTTATTACATACATAATACGTAGCTTTCAAAAAGGTTATTAGTTTGTTTTCATTTTGATTTTTATTTTAAACCAACATCACAAGAGTAATTTTTCCTAGGTAATTCAACTTAAAATGTTAGAAAATGCGCGGTTGTCTTCCAGTTTCATTTTACAGACCCCGAATTGGTGCCATCTAGTGGTGAGATAAGGGATAAACCTTGGAAGTACAATACCTGTTAGATGGTATGTGTTTCTCAAAGTTCTGGCACAATACAAGCACAATGGCTGGAACAGTGTTCAAGGTTTAGGAGAGGTTCATCTAGTTTTTGTGATACAGTTTTTTACATTTGCTTTTTTGGGGGATTTTTGAATTTTTATTTTGTCTCAACACTTGATTTTTCTTATAAAACAAAAACTGTTCACATTTTTTGCAGTGAATAAATGACAAAATGTAATTCTCAGAATTTTTTTTTTTGTACAATTTCAGGTTTGTTGTGTAATCTAATGACAAAAAAAACGTAAAAAAAAATTGTACTAAGACAGACCCTGGACTTTTAATATCCTTCCATGCTATCTCTGTCTATCACTAATTTAAAGCAGTGTGTGTGCGTGCGTGTGTGCGTGTGGGCTTGTTTATAAATGTATCCTTGGACTTGGTTTACCAGTTTGTTGCTCTCTTTTTGTATTTGTGAAGGAAAGAACAGATGAATATGCTGCTCTAATGGAGCACAGGATCTGTCTGTGTCCTTCAGAGCTTTTGAGAGCACTGTTCACTTCACTATACCCCCCCCCCCTCTCTCTCTCTCTTCACTGTGTGTATTTGTGGATTTGTCGGAAGAGTCTTCAGCTGCTTCATCTTTGCAGCCGGGCTAATGCAGTTGGGAGTCTGTCAGCATGTGTCAATGTGCCTTTCCACTTAGTTTCCACAGAGATCCAAGTTACTAGAGAAGGAGCAGTTCATGGGGGAAACAGAAAAGATGTTGCCAATATATTTATCTGCAGCTACAACAAGCTAACGTTAGCATTAGTTTGTAGAGGAACTTCATGTACAGCAACCGTATGAAGTTAATTTTAAATTATTAACTATAATAAAGTAAACCAAAACTTACTGTGGGCAACAGTGTTGATCCTGGATATTGTCACATGCAACCTCCACTAATTTAAATACAAGAATGTAAATGAATTCATTTAAATCTGTGAGATTAATAAAGCAACACAGTATGATTGAGCTGCTTGAAGTTACAAACTATCCCAAAGTCCTCCAGTAATAAAAGTATGGGCAAATTAATTTTGGGCTATTTTTTGCAGATTCAGCTCTTCCAAACGTTTTTCTCACTAATTTTTTTCAATATGTTTGTGGTTTACAGCCTTTAGGTGCTGCGGATTATTTAGAGATCGCCCGCCATTTTGACACAGTTATCTTACGGAATGTTCCTCACCTCCGAGTGGGAATGAAAGACCAGGCTAGACGTCTCACAGTCCTCATTGACAACTTTTATGACAAAAAGGTACACAAATTGCATTATTATAATTACTCAAAAAATGGTTATTTGCGTGGTTGTTTCATACTTTCGTAGTTAAAATATCTCTGATTATTAGGTTCGAATCGTGATGTTGGCAGATGCCCCATTAGCCTGCCTGCTTGATCAGGGAGAGATGACTGGGGAGGAAGCAAGAGATCGCCTGATGCTGGATGAACTCGGCCTGACTGATGTAAAGATCACTTCAAACACTGCCACCTACAGGACTGTGTTGGATAGAACTACTGTATAGTAAAATGAACACATTTAAGTGAATCTAAACTCAACTTTAACCACAGTAGCTGACAAAAACGTGCTGAAAACTATAAAATAAACAGTGGAATATAATGGACATAGCATAAAATAATGAAAACAATAAAGTCAGCTGGAATCTAAAATATATTAAAAACTCACATTGAAACAAGTCCATGACATAAAGGCAGAGTTAAAAGCTGTAAGTATTAATATAAAGCTGTAGGTTTTAATATAAATATTGTTTGGAGTGATGAAGAATTACAACTTTTGGGGCTTTTTGTGTGGTTACAAATACATTTTTTTATTTTAATATGTCTGTTTGTTAGTTGTTTGTTACAATTGTTAGTTTCTATTAATTAAAATTTAGATGAATATTATGTGTGGCAATGAATAGTGGGCCTGGAAAGTACATTTTCCATTTAGTTCATGAAATATTTTTGTGCATTTTCTATTAATTATCCTTATTTTTTAAATGATTTATTGTGTCCACTTTCCAGTGGCTCGGTTGGTATAGCATTGCGCTAATAACGCAAAGATCTTGGGTTCAAATCCCAGGGTAAGCAACAACTGACAAAAAAATGTATTCATTTAAATGTAAGTCGCTTTGTTCAAATGTAAGCGTCCACCAAATGCATACATGTAAATGAATATTAAATGGAGTGATGAAGAATTACATCATTTTGGGCTTGGAAACACTGTACACATCTGCTTTTTGTGGTTAAAAACCTTTGAATACACAAAATATATTTTCCATTTAATTAAATGTTTTTTGCATTTGTTAATTGCCGTTTTCTGTCAAATATCGTTTTGTTTTTTTTATTATTTGTTGTGTTTTACATTTTATTTAATAGTGTTTACTTTTTTCACCAATGATATTTAGTTTTTTTTTTACCAAATTTAAAACCACATGTCTAGAATGTATTTATTTTTAAATTATATATCCATGTTTGTTTGTTTTTTTTACATATATGTATGTTTTAAATGCCTCTGTTCACCTAATCTATGCATGATTGTTACTGGGTTTTACTGTATATTTTAAATGTTGTTTTTTTTCTCTGCTCAGGAGGCCAGTGGACGAATGACTCTGTTCACAGCAGACGAAGAGATCTTTGCTTTCCAGAGGACAGTGTCTCGCCTCACAGAGATGCAGACCGAACAGTACTGGACCAGAGGAGATCAGAGTTTAATGTAAACCCAACTAAACTCATGAACTCGCGCTTATCAGACTCAGTGTAAAAACATTTAGGTACATTTCTACAATATTTAACCGACTTCTACTGCAGAAATGAATGAACAGTAGATCCCTGATGTGCTACAAGAGAAGACGTCTAGCACCCTCTAGTGGAGCTGGTCATGTCTACTGTGGTACTCCATCCTTATATTATCCTTTCCCCGCTTTTGCCTGGGATATGTTCGGCCAAGATAGGAGAGACGGGAGCACTCTGGACCCCAATAGATGTTTTTGAAACAATGTCATGAAACAAATAATGTTGAGTTCTAATGTTGGCTTTCTGTGAGTTATTCTTATTGTTGTTCTGATTAAAATAAATACACAGTATAAGGTGTTTTATTTTCTAAATAAAAGCATGTTTTGACTAACAGAATTGACTTTTTACATATAAGCTGATGTGTGGCAATTGAAACCTTCAGCTCCCTCCAAAAACTCTCTATGCGATTAAAGTCTGGAGGTTTTTCTTCTTGAGTCCCTCCTTTGTTGGGTGTTTTTTAACCATACCATTGTCCTGTCACCGCAGAAACGTGACGTCAAATTATGTCAATAATTCTGACTTCTACGAGATTAAAAATGCAAGATCCCCTCTGTGCTATGCCTTTTCTTACAAAACTATTTAATAACAATGAAAAAGTGTATTAGATACAAATAAAGAATGTTTAAAGTTCGTTTTCGTTGGAGACCTGTAATGAAGGGTTACCGTTTGTATTAAAGAGACCGAGATCCCAAGATCTCCTGGTCTTTAATTCAGAGTTTCATACACTTCTAATGAAATACTTGTAATTAAATAAACTTCTGTGGTCTACCATATTGTTATTAATTCAGTTTTCATTTACTGTGAATGTAATACTTAGGTAAAGCTTGTAAAAATCATGATTGCTTATTTCTGAATAAATTAAATAGTTTAAAACCTAAGTAACTTTGATTTATTCTGAAAATTTGCATTAAAATTTTTAACAGAGACATTAAATCCCAACAGACCAGAAAAAAAGAGTTATGCTGGTTTAAGCACCCCCTCATTTTCTTGGAAGCAGGCTCTAAAGCATAAACTCATCAAACCATGCAGTTTCTATTGCCCATGTACAATATTTTATTCAAATGGTAAGAAGTTCTAAATTCAAAGAAAACGACATAAAGTCAATGTAAATGAATCATTACCTCCTACACATTTCTTGAGGGGAAACAAGACGCCTCCCAAGTCCACTCACACAATATGCCATGAAACGAATGTATCTGTATGTGTTTAGGATCCACATCTAAATAAAAATGTACTTGTGTTTGACCTACAAATACCAACTTACACTCAGTGGCCACTTTATTAGGTACACTCCACTAGTACCTTAAACCTTTGTGGCATCGTTTCAACAAGGTACTGGAATCATTCCTCAGAAAGTTTGGTGAATATTGACATGATAGCATCACGCAGTTGGTTCCCATTCCACCACATCCCAAAGGTGCTCTATTAGATCGAGATCTGGAAACTGTAAAGGTCATTTGAACACAGTGGCCTCATTGTCATGTTTAAGAAACCAGTCTGAGATGCAGTGCATTATCCTGCAGGAAATAGCATCAGAACAGGGATACACTGTAATCATAAAGTGATGGCAACAATACTCAGGGAGGCTGTGGCGTTGACACAACGCTCAATTGGTTCTAAGGGGCCAAGAAAATGTCCCCCACCCCATTACACCACCACCACCAGTCGAAACCGTTGATTCAAGGCAGTACAAGCAAGTGCTTAGAGGAGTGGCAAGTGGTTATTTGACTTAGTGTTGCAAAACCAGTTCAAAATCACCAGCCGCTCACTGGACATTGTCTCTTTTTTCAGCCCATTCTCAGTAAATCCTAGAGATGAAATTCCAGTAGATCAGTAGTTTCTAAAAAAACTCAGACGACCATGTACAGTTACTTAAATCCCCCTTTTCTCCATTCTGGTACTTGGTTTGACCATGCTGCCATGTAATTGGCTGTCTAGAATTTTGCGAGCAGTTAGACAGGTGTACCTAATAAAGTGGCCGTTGAATGCATCTCTTCGAGATTCAGGAAGAGATTAACTTCTACACAACCCCGGATTCGCAAATGCTGAAATAGAATAAGTGTTGTAACACAGATTTTGTACAAAGGTACTGTTTGTGCATGTTAAATAAATTTTGACTCAATTTTCTGCATTTTCTTGTTCTTAAAAGCTTAATTCATCAAAATTCAATCCTCCTGTAATAGCTTTCCGTGGCAAAAAGGTGGCAGCAGAAGGCAGCTCTGTTTGCCTGTCCTCCAAACAAACACACCCCATCATTTCCAAGTGTTGCATTGTTCTGAAAGCCTCTGAGAACTATTGTGTGTCCTCTCCCCTGAATCTCAATGCAGATGCAATGTCAAGATTGACCAGTTCTGCAAATATTTATAGTGAATTATGTAAAACAAATGCATGCTCTTAAAAATAACATTTATGTTTGCCACGCTCACCAATGATCTGCTTTCAGTGTTAGAACTGAAAAATGTTTTGGTGCCAAACAGGGAGATTATAATGGAGTACCTGCAGTATACCATCCATGCAGAGTTGAAAACAAAGAAGATGCACACTCAAGAGGGGGAGGGTTGATTCTGAAAGATAAGGAGTGAATGGATAAGTATCCGAAAAAAACAAAGATGTCAGATCTGAAGTGAATTTAGAATCACGTGTTGGTCCAGCGTTTATACCAAGACACTAACACTGCTATCATCAACCTCAGCATCTCGAGGTGGACAAGTGCAAGATGCGCGCGCATTCCCATACAAACAACAGCCTCGCCGTCTGAGAGGAAAATGCGCATCTCTGTAGAAACAAAGGCGTGCTCGTGTTTTGATAAGACGTCATTGCCCTACAGTAGCACTACTGAGGAGAGCAGACGGGCTGAACGTTTCTTGATTATGAATTACGTCATGTGTTTGAATGAAGCGAGGCGGACAGCAGGGGGCGTGCCACAGCGGATAATGTCATGCGGGGATTAAAGGGCCAGCGACAGTGAACTCAAGACATGCCTCAACACAACTCCCGAGGTTAGCAAAGTGTTTTATTACTAATTAAATGATAACTTTTTAAAGAAATTAATTGTGACGGAATATTTTCAGAGGCTGAGTTGTGTCTTTGAAAGGATATATTGATTAACATTGCTTTTACGGAATAAAATAAGATTTACATCAATATAGAATTATGTATTTTTGCCATTACTCCTTACTTTCATTACACTGTTAAAATGCACAGCACCAAGACATACAATAATATATTGTTCCCCGTAACTTATTATATCAATATAAAGCAATTATTTTGTGAAAATGTAAAACATACAATAAAAATAACAAGCAAAAGTGATTAATGGAACGTCCCAAACTTGCACATCATCAACTATATTGGACCACAGCTTCCTTGAAAAGTATATTCAGAATGTGCAGTTTAAAAACAACATTTCTTTGCGACGTTACATATGCTTGAACCAAAGATGATCTCAGCTAGTGCTGCACACTGTGCACAGAACGTTTTTTTTACTTAAAAAAATCTGAAATCCTTCAAAGCTTTTTTCTCCTTGGCGAGCAATAGGACATTGTAAGTATTTCTCATCTGATATAGTATTTCTATTGTGGTTGTATTTCTATTGATTGGCTCTCACTTCCTCCCTACAGATAGAACTTGAAAAAATTAATTTAGGTCAATGAAATAAACGAAAATGTGTTTATTGACGGGCACCTTATGTGATCAAGAAGTACAATAAAGATCGGTCCGAATGGATTTGTGGCATTAGAAAATAAGAGCTGGTTGTTATGTTTTGTGGGTGGGTGGGTGGGTTAACTTATTTGTTGGTTTAAAAAAAAAGAGTTGTTTGATTTGGCAGATAAAATCTAAATTTAAGTAATAAACTAAATTCTGATTATTACGCTTTAGGTGTTTGAGCATCATTTGCTTCATTAATGTGTGTTTTTATTTGAAAAAAAAAAAAACAAAACAAAACTAAACATTCATGTTTGGTTCTCATTACAATTCCTAAAATGTATAAAGAGATGTTCTTAGATTGTTTTGTTTGTGACCTCACAACCCTTAGGATTCCTCTCACGACCCTTGAGAGTGAACAAATGACTGAATGAATGACCCTGGTGCCTAGTCATAATTTACTGGGATGAAGTCTCCTATTATTACTAGCACAATTTTGTTGCAGCGTGCAGGATGGAGCTTTAAACTAATTAAGTGCGAGAGAAGCTACTGAGCTAAACACTGGAGAGTGTGATTTTAAAAAGTTTATCATTTGAACCTCAACAGATTGATCTTGTTTTCTTATATTTTACTTTTTGACCTACTTGC